TTTAACAGAACAAATTGTATTTCTTTTCCTGCGCTTAAGAACAACCTGATGGAAGAACTTGGTGTTTCTATCACCTCTGGACACCCAATTCTTTTTGCTGCGTTGTTTGTAGTACTGATTCAATTGATTGAGAGTAAATTCATACCTAGCAATAAGAGATAGTTCCAAGTCTTGGTTATGATGCTGAAGAGGCAGCTTCTACAAATCATTGATTTTGATCTCCAACATGCTCAGAGTCTGCTGGAGGGGCTTCTTCTTTTTACAGCAGGCCTTGAGAGTGTTCTCCAAGGAAGTTGATTTAGCTGTAAAAGAGTTAAGCGTGCTAGCTTCCCTAGAATTCTTGGCAAAAGAATTAAAGTCATCTTCAGTGAGCCACCAGTTTTCAAATTTAAAAGATTGTTTGGGTTTAACAAAGTGACTATCGGTGGTAATCAAAATAGGAGCATGGTCACTAAGAATAATGGGAGGATTGAGGACCTTAGTGTTAGGGAAATGAGCACACCAATCAGAGTTAACTAAACAACAATCAAGGCGACGATGGATAGGTTTGGATGTATTTTGTCTACCTCGCCAAGTGTAAGCAGGACCACTATAACCAATATCAAAGAGGCCACAATTCTTGACAAGAGAACGAAAGGCATGCATACGGTAGTAGTTGATATTGCCATTACAACCGTCGACCTCATACAGGATATCATTCAAGTCTCCCATACAAACCATGGGCTTTCCTATATTATCATAAACAAAAGAAGCTACGTGGTCCCAGATGACATTAGTCTGCTTATGATAAGGGTCTCCATATATACAGATGAGACAAAAGTTAACCCCAGATGCGATATGAACTACATTAGCTAAGATATAGTGAAAAGCAGCAGTATGAACAGAAACTTTGAGCTCATCGGTCCACATAAGCCAAAGGCCCCCCGAAGAAACTCTAGAAGGAACAACACAAGCATCAGTAACGTCAAACCTATTAACAAGATCAGTAGAAGTAACCTTAGAAGATTTAATTTCAGAAACAAAAGTTACCTGAGCTCTAGTGGACCGCATAAGATTCGCAAGGTAAAGCATCCTTTCACTGCCAAGGCCCATGCCTATACCTCGGCAGTTCCAGGCAATAGCCTTCATGGCGGAGGAGGCACGTTGGGGCCTTGCGCCGCTGCCGGGCAAAGGGGATCTGGGTAGGAGGAGGCGGCAACGAATCCAACCTGGAAGATCGACGCAACCCAAGATTCGGGCGGCAGAGGTGAAGATTAGGCAAAACAGAGAGAGGGCAAGAGGGGAAGCAGATAGGAGATGAGGAGGAGGGGAAGAAGGGGATCTGGAGGAGAATGGGCCGATAGACGAGAGAGGAGATGAAAGAGGGAAAGGGAGAAGATGATACAGCAGCACGCCAGCCGCCGGACAATCGCCGGAATACGCCTCAGATTAGGAGGAGACCGGATCCAACGAAAAAGATTGCCGCTGGCTTGAATCTGGCTGGAACAAAGAACAGGAGATCTGGGAGGGAAGAGATGGAAGAAAAATAGCGACGGGGAGGGGAAAGAGCGAATCAGCCAGGGGCCAAGGATGGATAGAGGAGAGGAAGGGGAAGCAGAGGGGAAGAAGGGGATCGGCATCACGCCAGTCGCTGGCAATCGCCGGAAGTCCAGTAAGTCACGGCTCTCTCCGCCATTGCTGTGGCGTTAGGCACTTCCTCCATCCCAGAATATAAGACGTTTTTTGACACTGCATGATTAGTATGCACATAATCAAGACTAAGGCCCTGTTCAGTAGTCCGTCGGCTCCAAGAAATACGAGGATCTACGGAGCTGGTGTTTCCCCACTCCTTTATTTTCAGCTCAAGCTACCCCCGCTCCCGGAGTGTAGTTCTGGAGTGGTGAGACTCCGAACAGGCCCTAAATGCCACTCGTCACCGAGCACCACCCACGCAAGTCAAGGCCACAAGCCCCCACCGCCAAGCGTCCTAACACTACACTGTAGCCACCATTGGACCGCCTCCAAGCACCAGCGAGAGGAACATGCCTCTGCGAGAGAGGGGACGTCGAGTGGATCAAGGCTTGATGCCGCCGTCAGTCGCACAAGCTTTGCACGGTGATGTCATCCAACCGCGACGAGGGGAGATAGCGGAGAAAGCGAATCGAATGAGACTCCCGTCCGGACGATGCAGGGGGCATCATGTTAGTACGTTTCATGTAGCTGTATTCAACAATTTGCCGACCACTGCATACATATTTTGCATGTGATCTTGAAATCACAATTTATGTCAGCTCGCTTTATATGCTTCAAAACAAATCTTCAAATTTTGCTCATCCATAGTGTATTAAAACATATACACATAAGCTTTATTTAATCCTTTCTGAAAGATGTAAGTGTGTTCAAAAGACAGTTATAAAAGAGCTCAATGCAGCCCACAAGCCAAAATCAATACAATCTGAAGGAGAAATTAGTTGTTTTATTATAGAAGTTTTCTTAACTCTTAATTATCTTTTGAGCCTAATAAAAAAATTAGTAACCAGGGTCAATCCTCTAATGCGACTCACTGGGGCAATCTCAAAATAGAGAACCTAATTGTTATTAAAATAATAGATGTATTTGACCTAAACAATTTGACTATAATAGATGCATTTTCACCTAGAAAATATCTTACTACCAAGGTATAATTACACCCATGTTCATATACTACCCATGTTCATTGCGAGTGTTCCAAATTGCTCATGCGACTATAATGATAATCTCCAGAGAAGTCAGCAAGGTCTTCTAGGTTCCATAAAGATTGAATGGAAATGTGATGATTTTGGGAAGATGAATGCATATGTGCCAAAAGTGCATTCTTGACATAACATTCCAATTGTGTGACTAGAAATCAATAGATTGGCCATTCTCAATGCGCCAAGATGCATTATCCTTATAACTTTGCAGTAATTTCAAACAATTTCTCCACTAGATTGCACAATGAATCAGCTGTTACTAGGGACAACACTAGGTAGTCATTTTAAATTTGCGAAATGGCATCCTTTTTATCATTTTAAAATTGTGCAACCACACATTTCATATGCAAATGTATGTTTTGGTCAATTAAAAATTGTGTAAATAATAGTTTTATGTTACTTGTTTTTCAACAGGCCAACTTCGGTCATGTCACGTATTTGACCGACTATGTATGGTCGTGTCATGTATTTGGTTGTATAAGACTTGGTTTAATGTGGTCAAACATGTAGATTCAAGTTCCTCTTGTCCCTGGCGGCTGTAATCCTAGCCGCCGCCAAGAGAGGCCAATCTTCCAGCGCTGTTCTCCGGCAGCTTCCCTTCGCCGGTAACCTCGGTCGTCAGATTCACACGCGTGAATCGTTTTTACTTTCTTTTAGTCTAGATTTTTAGGCAGTTTAACGTCTTGACTTCGGCGGCGACGATGGCGGTACTGAATAAAGATTATTCAGATCCTTCTCTGACGAGGCCATTGGTCTTATGATTGTGAATGGATTTGGAAATCAGTATATTCAAACAAGATGGCGTGGCGGCGGCATCCTCGCGGTGGACCTGTGTCTTTGGGCTCCGACATTGCTCCGATATTTGCTCCAGCGTCGGCGCGGAGTTTAGGAGGTAGTCTAGGAGCGGATGCAGATTGTGGACTGCATCGACGACATCTGAAAGACAAAACATGTGCTGGGTTTGTGGTTTGTGGATGGCAAGTATGATTTCCTTCTTCGGCGTCTTAGTCATGCTGGGTGCTAGATCTAGAGTTCGATGGCATGTCTAGGGCATTGCCTTACTCTGATTCGTTCAACGATAATAACTTTACTTTTGGCGAGCCACCTTAGAGGTCCGCAAAGTTGTATATTAGCGATAGAGTCGCTTCGAGGTGAGCCACCTTGAAGATCCACAAAGCTATATATTAGCAATAGAGCCACGTCGAGCTCAGGTAAGAAGATGATCTGTCATTTTTCTCTTTCGTGGTTGCTGTGATAATGTCGGAGGTAAATGACGGACGTTGCTGTCAACTTTATAGATGTTTTGTTATCTTTATTTTTTCAGTTTTATCATGTCGATCTTTAGATAAGTTGTATTTGTTTTTTTAAAGACGAAGTCTTTACGTGAGTTGTATTTGTTTTTTTAAAGACGAAGAGACGCGTATTACCATGAAAAGGAAAGGCGTGCTCTAATGTTCCGTTATAATAAGAAGAAACATTTCCCTAGAAAAAGTTATTACTTCCTCCAATGTTTCGTTATAAAACTAGCTACAATGGGTAGTAACATATATTAATAACATGCGCATTACTAGTTTATGTTACTATTTTTATAGTAGGAAGTAACATATATATGGTGACATGAAACACATCATTTAATAACATGCGCATTAACATGCGCATTACTAGTTTATGTTACTATCTTTATAGTAGGGAGTAACATATATATGGTGACATGAAACACATCATTTATTAGACTATAGACACATCTTATCTTAATATATGTGATATTATTCATACTGCTAGTAGTAACTAGCATATATGTGATGTTACTACATATGTTACTCCCATTGTATGTAGTCTAATAAGAAGAAACATTCCTAAAAAAAAGTTATTACTCCCTCCGATCCATAAATCGCACTAAATCAGTTGATATGGACTCAGAGGGGCGTAATTAAAAATCAGTCTTGCTAAGACTTAACAAAGTCTGAATCGATGTCATATCCCGTGAGTTCTTACATTGAGATTCACATTGAGATTCGTGCAAAATTTTCTTTTTAGGTTTTTCCCCTCTGGCATGTTATGTCACTTATGTCACTTAAATCCCAGTTGACTAAGACCTAGCCGCACTTTTAAAATATATTTTCTTCTTAAAACACGGAGTCTCCTCCTGATTTTTTTCCATCGAAAAGGGACTAAAAGTTCTTACACTATACTCTGCTAGAAAGAGACACCAAACAGAACCGGAGTATAGTTCCGGCGCCGGCCACGCTGGTATTCCTTGGTGCACCAGCCTCCTTAATTACCATACTGTCAGCGCAGCTCGGTCGGCGGCGCCGCCGACCTCCAGACCAGCGGCACGCGGCCCTCGCGGTCCCGGGCGAGCCGCTCCTGCGCGCCGCCGCGGAGCTTCTCGAGCCGCGGCGCGTCGCTCTGGTGCATGACAAACACTTTCAGCACGTTGAACAGTGCACCCGCCACCCACAGCACGCTCCCGCACAGGCTAATCCACCCCTCGCTCTCGCTCTGGCTTTCGCCCTTGCCTGCCAGGGTGGGCTCACGGCGGCGGTGGAGGGCGGCGGCGACGAGGAAGAGCAGGCTGCCGAGGAGGACGGGCACCTGCACGCTGGACTGCAGCAGCTGCGCGCGGCCGTCAGCGCGCTCGTACACCTGACATGAGCTGAGCACGGAGCCCAGCAGCCAGAGCACCGCGCCCGCCAGCAGCGCGTCGGCCGCGCGCCTCTCCAGCTTCTCGCCCTGTTCAGACCATCAGCAGAAAACACAACGAGCAGTAGTTAGTTAACGGCGGCGGTCGGCGGCCCATGCGTTCGCCGACGGTTGACACTAACGAACCTGGGAGAAGAGCTGCAGCGCGAGGCCGACGATGGCGAGGACGCAGCCGGCGGCGTGGAGCGCGGGCGCGAGGAGCTCGACGAGGCCGAGCTGGGGGTCGAACCGGGCGAGCCCGACGCGGCAGTCCACGCCGGCGAGGTGCGCGCCCAGGTCGTGCGCGTTCACGGCCGCCACCACCGCCAGCGCCACGGCGGCCACGGCGAGTCCCGCGTCCGTGGCGCCGGCGCCGCCCTCGGACGCGCACAGCGCCGCGAGCCCCGTGGCCAGGAGCAGGGTCCCGAACATGTACGCGCCGGCGTTGATGTACTCCCACCGCCGCACCGCCAGCGCCGGCCCGTACAGCCGCGCCTCCCTCGCCGTCGCCAGCTTCACCATGGCCTCGGCGGCTCCGTCGACGCGTCACGGCGAGCGGTGCGAGTGGGGAGTAAAGTAGCGAGAAACCGCCGCGATCGAGAGTCAATGCGGTGGGTTGGGAACCTGGGATGCGTAGGCGGAGTTTGGAACGAGTGTGCGTGGCGCCGTGCATGGCGCGTCTGGACGGACAGGTGGTGCGTAGTTGACGAAGGGAAACGGGGACAGAGCACCTGAATGCCATGCGACATGTGGCAATGCCCCCTGCTCTGCTTTTGCTCACCGGGGCAGAGGAGAACCCGGGTCTCACTTGCCAACTTCGATTCAAACATGTTTGTCTCGAGGTCTGACTGCGTGCGTCATTTTTAATTTGCATTTGTGTATCAGTGTATGGATTACTTGTATTTTAATAGTACTCCTAGTAGTACGTACTATGACAGTATGTAGTGTTGTATGGTTTCAATTGTGTCACATGCAAGCAATAATATTCTTTTATTTTTGAGCTTCGTCCTCATCCAGCGCTGCACTGGATGGAGCATCATACGCTGCACGACTGGACCAACCAACAGGTCCTGCCGCTTCAGCGCGACTGCGCATTCACGCCGAATTGCAGGTCTTGATTTTTTTTTTACATAGTCTTGTCAGATATTACTCCGTTTCAAAATAATTGGAACTAGCAAGGTGACCGCGCATTTGCGCGGCTAGATATATTAGGTATTTTCATATCAAGATTTTCACATGTATATGCGTATGTTAGTCATGGATTATCTCTTGTGTATCCTCGATGAAATATTCTGTCAAGTTTTTTTTTCGAGAAACTCGCAGGAGCGCTGCCTTTTAATTAGAAGAAGAGTGAGTGTTACAATAGTTTACACAAGGCTTTTTCCTATAAGATTCGGGTGGCGGGGGAGCCTCCCAACCATCATCGGCATGCGGATTACTCGCGAATGAGAAAGCAACTGGATCTGTGCAAGCGAATATCTGTCAAAACTAGATGGGCAACTTCTTGGTAGGTCAACCTCTTGCCGATGAAAACTCGACGGTTCCTCTCCTTCCAGATGTTCCAGAGCGTGTAAATCATGGCTCCACTACGCTCCCGCCTGTTCTGAGCTAGAACACTGGCAAGAAAGCCCTCCCACCACGTGTTGATGGAGGTTCCATCGTGCGGTGGGCTCGGGTTAGGCATTCCCTCTGTTGTGTTGACGCTCCTCCAGACCGCCTGCGAGAAGGGGCAATCTCTACATAGATGAGTGACCGTCTTATTGGATGCCATGCAAAGGCGGCATATCGGATTGTGTGCCCATCCATGGATTGCCAGGTTTTCCGCCGTGAGGATCCTTCCATGCAGGACAAGCCAGGCGAAGAGCTTGCATTTGGGGGTGGCCTGTGCTTTCCAAACCTTAGCAGAGCGGAAAGGCACCAAGCGACCAGAGAACTGCATATGGTAGGCAAACTTGCTGGAGTATTCCCCTGAACCCGTCCAGTTCTAGCGGATGGAGTCTGGACGGGAGGGGTCAATGCCAGTGGTCTGTAGAAGCTGCCAAATGTCGAGGAATTCGCAGAGCTGGACGACAGTTGCTACCTCTTGAGCACTGCGTTGGTTTTCCCCGAAGAGGAAGGCTAAGTATTTCCCTCAGTTTTTGAGACCAAGGTATCAATCCAGTAGGAGGCTACGCGCGAGTCCCTCGCACCTGCACAACACAAATAAATCCTCGCAACCAACGTGATAAGTGGTTGTCAATCCCTACACGGCCACTTACGAGAGTGAGATCTGATAGATATGATAAGATAATTTTTTTGGTATTTTTGTGATAAAGATGCAAAGTAAAATAAAAGCAAAGAAAATAATTAAGTAGTAGGACATTAATATGATGAAGATAAACCCGGGGGCCATAGGTTTCACTAGTGGCTTCTCTCGAGAGCATAAGTATTCTACGTGGGTGAACAAATTACTATTGAGCAATTGACAGAATTGAGCATAGTTATGAGAATATCTAGGTATGATCATGTATATAGGCATCACGTCCGAGACAAGTAGACCGACTCCTGCCTGCATCTAGTACTATTACTCCACTAATCGACCGCTATCCAACATGCATCTAGAGTATTAAGTTAATGAAAACATAGTAACGCCTTAAGCAAGATGACATGATGTAGAGGGATAAACTCATTGTTGGGGATCGTTGCAGAAATTAAATTTTTCTACGCATCACGAATATCAATCTATGGAGAAACTAGCAACGAAAGAGAGGTGAGTGCATCTTCATACCCTTGAAGATCACAATGCGGAAGCGTTGCAAGAACGCGATCGGTGGAGTCATACATGAAGCGATTCAGATCGCGACCGAATTCGATCTAAGCACCGAACAACGGTGCCTCCGCGTTCAACACACGTGTAGCCCGGTGACGTCTCCCGCGCCTTGATCCAGCAAGGGAGAGGGAGAGGTTGGGGAAGACTCCGTCCAGCAGCAGCACGATGACGTGGTGGTGTTGGAGCAGCGTGGTACTCCGGCAGGGCTTCACCAAGCATCACGGGAGGAGGAGGAGGTGTTGGGGAGGGAGAGGGCTGCGCCTTGAATGTGGTGCGGCTGCCCTCCCACCTCCCCTCTATTTATAGGGGCAAGGGAGAAGGGGGTCAGCCTCCTCCAGATGGATCTGGAGGGGGGGCGGCGGCCAAGGGGGGAAGGCTTGCCCCCCAAGCCAAGGGGGGTGCCCCCTTTAGGGTTCCCCCAAACCCTAGGCGCATGGGCCCTAGGGGGTTTGGCGCCCAGCCCACCTAGGGGCTGGTTCCCCCTCCATATTCAGCCCATAGGGCCCTCTGGGGCAGGTGGACCCTCCCGGTGGACCCCCGGAACCCTTTCAGTGGTCCCGGTACAATACCGATAAACCCTCGAACACTTCCGGCGACCGAATAAGGATTTCCCATATATAAATCTTTGTCTTCGGACCATTCCGAAACTCCTCGTTACGTCCGGGATCTCATCCGGGACTCCGAAAAACATTCGATAACCACGTACAAACTTTCCCTATAACCCTAGCGTCATCGAACGTTAAGTGTGTAGACCCTATGGGTTCGGGAATCATGCAGACATGACCGAGACATCTCTCCAGCCAATAACCAACAGCGGGATCTGGATACCCATGTTGTCTCCCACATGTTCCACGATGATCTCATCGGATGAACCACAATGTCAAGGATTCAATCAATCTCGTATACGATTCCCTTTGCCTACTGATATAGCACTTGCCCGAGATTCGATCGTCGGCATACCGATACCTTGTTCAATCTCGTTACGGCAAGTCTCTTTACTCATTCCGTAACACATCATCCCGTCAACAACCCCTTAGTCACACTGAGCTCATTACGGTGATGTCTTACCGAGTGGGCCTAGAGACACCTCTCCGTCATACAGAGTGACAAATCCCAGTCTCGATTCGTGACAACCCAACAGACACTTTCAGAGATACTCGTAGGGCACCTTTTTTAGCCACCCAGTTACGTTGTGACGTTTGGCACACCCAAAGCATTCCTACAGTATCCGGGAGTTGCACAATCTCATGGTCTAAGGAAAAGATACTTGACATTAGAAAAGCTTTAGCAGACGAACTACACGATCTTGTGCTGTGCTTAGGATTGGGTCTTGTCCATCACATCATTCTCCTAATGATGTGATCCCGTTATCAATGACATCCAATGTCCATGGTCAGGAAACCATAACCATCTATTGATCAACGAGCTAGTCAACAAGAGGCTCACTAGGGACATGTTGTGGTCTATGTATTCACACATGTATTACGATTTCCGGATAATACAATTATAGCATGAACAATAGACAATTATCATGAACAAGGAAATATAATAATAACCATTTTATTATTTCCTCTAGGGCATATTTCCAACAGTCTCCCACTTGCACTAGAGTCAATAATCTAGTTACATTGTGATGAATCAAACACCCATAGAGTTCTGGTGTTGATCATGTTTTGCTCGAGGAAGAGGTTTAGTCAATGGATCTACAACATTCAGATCCATATGCATTTTACAAATATCTATGTCTCCATTTTGAACATTTTCATGAATGGAGTTGAAGCGACGCTTGATATGCCTGGTCTTCTTGTGAAACCTGGGCTCCTTGGCAAGGGCAATAGCTCCAGTGTTGTCATAGAAGAGAGTCATCGTGCCCGACGCATTGGGAATAACTGCTAGGTCGGTAATGAACTCCTTCATCCAGATTGCTTCATGTGCTGCCTCCGAGGCTGCCATGTACTCCGCTTCACATGTAGATCCCGCCATGGCGCTTTGCTTGCAACTGCACCAGCTGACTGTCCCACCATTCAAAATATACAGGTATCCAGTTTGTGACTTGGAGTCATCCAGAACTGTGTCGAAGCTAGCATCGACGTAACCCTTTACGACGAGCTCTTCGTCACCTCCATAAACGAGAAACATATCCTTAGTCCTTTTCAGGTACTTCAGGATATTCTTTGGTACCTTCCTACCAAACTTACGTCAAGGTTTACATCAGGTCTTGTACACAGCATGGCATACATAATAGACCCTATGGCCGAAGCATAGGGGATGACACCCATCTTTTCTCTATCTTCTGCCGTGGTCGGGCATTGAGCCGTGCTTAATCTCACACCTTGCAATACAGGCAAGAACCCCTTCTTGGACTGATCCATATTGAACTTCTTCAATATCTTGTCAAGGTACGTGCTTTGTGAAAGACCAATGAGGCGTCTCGATCTATCTCTATAGATCTTGATGCCTAATATATAAGCAGCTTCTCCAAAATCCTTCATTGAAAAACACTTATTCAAGTAGGCCTTTATGCTTTCCAAGAATTCTATATCATTTCCCATCAATAGTATGTCATCCACATATAATATGAGAAATGCTACAGAGCTCCCACTCACATTCTTGTAAACACATTGAGGGAGTCCTGGATTAGGGGGTGTCCGGATGGCCGGACTATACCTTCAGCCGGACTCCTGGACTATGAAGATACAAGATTGAGGACTTC